TTAGGTTGCTTAAAAATATTTCTACTGCTTTATGCAGATGATATTGTAATTCTTTCAGAATCAGAGTCAGGTTTACAGAAAGGTTTAGATTTGTTAGATATTTATTGTACTAGATGGAAATTAACAGTAAACGTGAATAAAACGAAAATTATGATTTTTAGAAAAGGCGGGAGAAATAGACAAAACTTAGAATTCATATATCAAAATTCTGCTATTGAAGTAGTTAATTCTTTTTCGTATTTAGGTATTGTATTTAGTACTGGTGGTTCTTTTCAATCAACATGTGAAACATTAAGTGGTCAAGCTTTAAAGGGTATATTCAAATTAAAATCGTATCTAGTGAAATTCCCTTGTCTTACAATAAGTCATTGTTTAAATCTATTTGATAAACTTATTTTACCCATTTTAAGTTATGGTAGTGAGGTGTGGGGTTTCTACAATTCAGAAAAAATAGAACGAGTTCACTTACAATTTTGCAAACATTTACTAGGAGTTAGGCCTCAAACACAAAATAATTTTATATATGGTGAACTGGGGCGCACAACTTTATTTTATAAACAGTTACTAAATGTTGTACGCTATTGGTTTAAAATTATTGAAAGTGATGAAAATAAGTATATTAAAAAGGTATATTGCTTAATGTTGAATGATTTAGATTTGCATCCCCAAAAGAATTCTTGGGCTAAATCTATTAAAGAATTGTTAGAAAATTTAGGTTTTAGTTATGCATGGTTGTTTCAGGGAGTAGGAAATAAAACTTTATTTTTGGAATATTTTAAAAGCAGACTTACTGATGGTTTTATTCAAAATTGGAATAGTCAACTACAAGGGTCATCTAGAGCAAGAACATATAATTTATATGCAAAATTTAAATTTCAGCCGTATTTGGATATTATTAAAAACACCAAATTAAGAATGGCATTATCAAGGCTTAGGGTTTCGGCGCATAGATTAGAAATAGAAACAGGCAGGTGGCACAAACCTTCAAAAATCCCATATTCAGACCGTAAATGTTTAATCTGTAAAACATTAGAGGATTAATTTCATTTTTTACTAGAGTGTCCTCTGTATATTGAGTTACGCAAACGATATATAAAAGAATATTTTTGGAGAAATGCTAATGTATTAAAATTTACTGAGCTTTTAAACAATGATAACAAAGTAGTTATTCAGAAGTTATCATTGTATGTCTTAAAAAGTTTTGAACTAAGAACACAATATTTGAACCGAATTATGTAAATATATATAGATATATACATGTGCATGTACAAGAATTGATTGATCTTGCATATATCGTATTATGTAATTGTTAAAATTGTATTTCTTTATTATTTTTTCTTAAGTCACCAGAAATTCTCCCCTGTTAAAGTTAAAAACATGATTTGTGAATTCAAATCAGTTAGATATATATTTTTCCAGGTGAATGCAGATTAGATCAAATTAATGATTACAATTGTTATTTACTGTTTATATACTGTTTGACTGCCATTGTGATGATATTTTATTGTGAAATTTAGATATTACAATCTTTTGTGTATTAATATATTTAGCTTTGTAAGATGATGGACATATCATGTCTTATTTCTGAATAAAGTATATATAGAAGATTATCTTATGTTTTAAACTCTACACACTAAAGGTGGACACAACAAGAATTTGTAACAGAGTTACCAACATCCCCCGTCTAAGAAAGTTTTATATGAAGCATAAAATTGTGCTTTTTCAGAAGATTGAGGTATGGATCTCAGGACTTTCAGTCCCAAATTATGATCAATGCTAGATCTGCAAATGCAACAATAAATTTATTAAAGAAATGAAACACGGAATTTAAAAATCTATCATGTCAAGCTTTGACCTCTAAGTGTGACCTTGACCTTGGAGGTAGCGGTGCAGGTGTTGTGCATGACATAACGTCTTATTATTGTGACTATTTGTGCCAAGTATTTTAAAATCCCTTGATCTATGAAAAAGTTATGGACTGGACACAAAATATACCCTATAACAGATTATGTTAATCTTTGACCTCTAAGTGTGACCTTGACCTTAGAGGTAGGGACACAGATTTACAAATTACATATCATCTTCAGTGTGACTATTTGTGCAAAGTCTTTTCAAAATCCCGTAATCTATAAAGAAGTTATGGACGGGACACAAAATATACCAAATAACAGACTCTGTTAACCTTTGACCTCTAAGTGTGACCTTGACCTTAGAGGTAGTGACACAGATTTACAAATTACATATCATCTTCAGTGTGACTATTTGTGCAAAGTCTTTTCAAAATCCCGTAATCTATGAAGAAGTTATGGACGGGACACAAAATATACCAAATAACAGACTCTGTTAACCTTTGACCTCTAAGTGTGACCTTGACCTTGGAGGTAAGGGTGCAGGTGTTGTACTTCGCATATCGTCTTATTATTGTGACTATTTGTACCAAAAATGATTTCAAAATCCCTTGAACTACATGTATGAAGAATTTCTAGATCCCACAAAAAATATGCCCTATAACAGACTATGTTAATGTTTGACCTCTAAGTGTGACCTTGACTTTGGAATTAGGGATGCAGGTGTTGCGCATGATACATCCTCTTATTATAGTGACTATTTGTGCCAAGTATTTTCAAAATCCTTTGATCTATGAAAAAGTTACAGACCAGACACAAAATATACCCTTCAAAAGACTATGTTAATATTTGACCTCCAAGTGTGACCTTGACCTTGGAGGTAGGTGAACGGTTTTTGCTCATTACACATCGTCTGATTATTGTGAACAATTGTGGCAAGTATTTACAAAATCCCTTCATAGATAAGAAAGTTATGGACTGGACAAGACATATACCCTCAAATAGACAATGTTGAATGAGCATTAGTGCGACCTTGACCCTGGAGGTAGGGGTCTGGTTGTTGCGCATGACACATCGTCTTATTATAACAAACATTTGTGCCAAGTTATTTCAAATTCCTTTGATAAATGACAAAGTTCTGGACTGGACACTAAAGTGTGACGGACAGACGGATGGACGTGCCACTTAAATGAACTTAAAGGGGCCATTTCTTTTGTTATTTTCTTTTGTTTAATAGAGGACCATGGCCCCTTATTCTTTTGTTAGGGAATGAACTCTATTGTTCTCTTTTGTTCTGTTTACAGTTAGATGGCCCCCTACTTCACTTAAATAGCAGACAGACGGACGGAAAGAGCCTATTTCTATTATCCCCCCTTTTAATTCGAAAAGGCTGGGGTCAATAAGAATATATAGTGTTATTAAAAAAACTGGCAGTTTATTTAATAAATGACCAACTTTATTTGACCTGTAATAGGATATGCACAGTTTGATCATTCTTTCATCAAAATTAGACATATTCAGAAGGAATTACATAGATTTTAATTAATTTTTGGGATAAAAAATATTTTACTCTAAGATGAGCATAGTATATCTTTATTCTTAAATATAAGCATTTAGTATATACTTATAAATGAACATTGAGAAATGTTAATGAAATAAAATGCATCTTTCTTTTTTTCGTATTTTCACTTTAAAAAATATTTTTCAATGCAGTGAAACATTATTTCTGTATTTTCACTGGTGTCTTGCCAGACTTCTTTCTTCTAAATTCAGCCAATACATGAACTTATTCATCATAAGGTTAAAATAGAGGAAAAGCTAGTATATAATAAACAGAAAAGTCAAGTTTATTAAATTAATATAGGATTAAATTCATCTTGTGGTATGAAAATTATCATAATTATTCCACTTGTCTTGTGGCTACTGCCACTCATGAAATATTTATTTTCATATCAATCAATGAAAATAAATCTTGTATTAATATAGAAGAATATTAATTATTTTCTTAAAAATCAGCTCTTTTGGGAATTTTTCATCAACAGAGAGATTCTGTTCCCTACAGAGACTACTATACTGGTTGGGGACCACCAAAATCGGACAACCACCAAACCTGGACGGCCTCCGAAAATGCTTAATTTAGTATTTTCTTTGTTCAGTGGATGTCAGTCATTTTTTCATCAACATTAAATGCATGTTTCCTCTATAATTAAGTAAATTAATTTATATGAAGCTCCGTAAATGGTAATATTTTAATGTATATTTCAAGAATGTTGACGTTGAAATTTGGGTGCCAAGAAAGCAATGCCTGACCTCACATACCAGCTATAATTAATCAGTTGCAGAGTAAAAAATAAAATATCCAAAACTTCAGCATTTGTTGCTGAAATATTGTTTATCATGTTAAAAATAAAAAATTAAAACATCTTTGGAAGCCTTTATCTGAATTAAATCATGTAATGTACATATCTGTCCGGACACATGGTACTGTAGTGTAGACATTTTAGGTAATTTTGATACCCTCCTTGACAAGCCTCAGATATAAGTGTCAATACAATCAGAAATAAACAAACAAGTTTGTTATTTAGGAAAAGAACCTTACTGTACTGTGTCAAAATTTTAGGTCTCTAGGTTTGAAATTATGAAATCTTTATTGAAAAATGTTCAAGTCCGGTTGCTGGTGCTCGACCAGTATAGGCCTATGTATCAGTGGTCCAGTTTCGGTACAGGACCTGTTCTGACTCATTCAATGTTGTTTAAATAACTGGCAACTCATAAGAAAATGAGCTGCCAACAGATGGTTAGACACACATTGCACAATATTATTAACAAAAAATCAAATGTCAGGAATATTCAATGAAAACAGCACTGAAGAATGTGGAACTGGTCCTCTGGAGTCTGGTGATGTCTGGGATCTTGTTAAATGACTGTATTAGTTACTTATATCATGTTTTTGAATCAAAGTCTGAAATTTTGTGAAAAATATGTTCATACTACTATTTCAAAATGTGCACTTAAAAAGCACCAGAACAAATGTAAAACTCCAAAATGGGGCAAACCAACCCCCGTTACCCGTCCAAAAATTCCTGGATCCGGCCTTTATACGTAACTCTTGACTAAAAATATAACTAAATTAGCATAGAAGTTTCAACTTACAAACAGAATTATTCCACCTGTATGACGGTTCATTTTCGAACTTCCTGATTTGACAATATAATTCTAAAGATTCACCACACCCTCACACCTGGGGTAATACAGGTGCCAAATACTTCTTCTGAACAACAATAATTTTTCCTGACAATTTACAAGTTTGAAAGTAACAAAACCCTTAAAAAATGCGGTTAATTTGTCTAAAACTCAAACACAATATGGAGACCAAAACCAGGAAGTTTTAATCATTTTGCAAAATGTTACTTAAAACTTTACGAAGTTTGTGTACATTATTACGTCAAGCTTTCTGATTACCCGGAGTAATCTCGTATCCAGCGAGAATCACGATCCAGATCAGCGAACTCTAAAGGTTTATGGAGTCAGGTTGAATATCACTAAATAATATCTTTTTTTTTATAAACGCCCTTCTCAAAGCGCGACGATAATATTATGATATCTTCTACATCATACTGCTTTAAAATCGTTTACGATCACTCTAAGCAGATATACATTGTATCACGGATTTATATTACAATATTGTAATATAAATCCGTGATTGTATACATTAACTAAAAAAATGAAAAATGTTACAAAACAACAATTTTTCACCAAAATTAGGTGAAAGACCACATGTTAGCATGGAAAAACTAGATTTTGGGTAATTCCAAAGTTTTTCATCATTTTTTGTTAACCCTTTACCCCATATATACGCGAAACAACGCACTATCGGCCTCCTCCCTCTTTTAGGCCTCAAATAGTGAAAAAAATGTGCTAGCTATTTGGGCCCAAAATACATTTTTTCTTTTGAGAAATGTTGCTAAAAAGTGAGCACTTTTACGGAGCCGCCCCCATCCTGGAAAAGATACATCAGGGGGTTGCCAGAAGGAGGATGTGCCCCCTTCTGTTTTTTTTTTGGGGGGGGGGGGTTGAAGGGGGCGGTAGTCACCCTCAAGGCCAAGAAATTTTTGGACTTATGAGAGGCTAAAAATGACACCAGATCGATCATAAGGTAATGTGTAAAAAGCAAATTTGACTCACTCCACGGATTTATATTACACTACTGTATATATAAATCATTGCTCTTTCTCAATCCCTTGAGAAGTTGCAGCACTTTGAAATAAATTTTGATGGAAAAAGTCGAGGCAAAATAGTGATTTTTGGCAAATTTGAGACGTCCCCTCGTTGTCATGGTAACAGGAAATTTAAGACTGAGCATGTCGTTACAAAGGCAATGGTCCAGTCAACATTTGTGCCAAGTTTGAGAAGTATTGAAGCATTTTTCATAGTTTCATAGCAGTTTGAACTTGTAACAGGAGGCTTTTCAATGAAAACGGCCATTTTTCACAATATGCTCATGAGGGAAAGGGTTAAAGAGACAGCTAAGAGATACAAGGGAATCCGGGAACGGTAATGTTACGATTCGCATTGTCACATTGTCAGATAATTAAAGGATTATTTCGGCGTCAATTAAATATTTCTACAACTATCCTAAGGTGGTTGGCTTGTTTAAATTAAAGGTGTGATAAATATTTTAGATATGCGTTCTTTAATTAATTACCGTAAATCAATTTTCGTAATGATCACATGTTTTGCAATACTTTTTTTTTTTAAATATTTGACATATATATAATATATGAAATCTATATCTATATATATAAAAATATTAATTGACATATATGTTTATGATTATTCAACATATAATTACTTTCTTGTAAATGTACTCCTGTAATAATGTAACTATGATAAATTGAATATCCGCGATGGGATAACTTTCAGTTTACCCTGTAGTTTCAGCGTAAATATGGAAGTCAGACAATGCTCTCCGCCTATGGAGGGCGTTCGTTGCCAAAATTCCAGACATGTAAAGTGTTCCTTTTTAAAATGACTTTTGAAAATGCGAACTTGTACGCCTACCATTTTTATTGTATTCCTCTTAATTCAATCTTTTAATTGAAGGATACCGCCTTTATATAACAAGTTTACATATATATCGTAACAACTGACCTAACATCTAAAACGACAACAAATTTACAAGTTCGTATCTTCCATTGCATGCAATACATACGCATGTTTGCACACTAGTAGATCTGTAATATACAAATGAAATGTAAAACTCGAATACGGAAAATAGAGTTAAGAAAACGTGTTACCAGTTGTAGAACTACAAAAGTACGTTAACACAGTAACATTTAAAACGACAAAAGTAGATTCACAAAGTTAAACGATTTTAAGTCAAGCATAACGCCCCGCCCCTCTCGGAGTATTTACGACCTTCTATTGCGGACAGGTATAAAACGGCGCCTCTCCCATATTTTTAAATAATTGCGAAGGGGCCTCCGTGGCCGAGTGGTTAAAGTCGCTGACTTGAGATCACAGGTCCCTCACCACTGTGGGTTCGATCCTCACTCGGGTCGAAATCTTTCATGTGAGGAAGCCATCCAGCTGGCTTACGGAAGGTCGGTGGTTCTACCCAGGTGCCCGCTCGTGCCTGAAATAATGCCCGGAGGGGCACCTGCGGTCTTCCTCCACCAATAAAGCTTGAAAAAAAAAATCGACGAAAAATCTCGGCGGGACGCTCTAGGATGACCCGACTTGAGTGTACGGTCGCCCATATGGGCTTTCCGGCGGCGACCTTAGATAAACGCATTAAAAAAAAAAAAATTTTAAATAAAACTGAAGGACAACATACGGCATTTTTCATAACATATATATGTTGCATTTGTTACAAAAGTTTTGTCATTAGCAACATCACTTGAAAATTGCTGATTTTACCATTTATGATGAAGATAACTTGTGCATTACTTTAAGTTATTATTCAACATCGTGTTCTTATCAGTTACAAATTATTTATCATTTTAGTGATTAGCCTGTCCGTGCTATGCCTAGTGCCCTGTCCTGTGTTTTGTTTAGGGTCCGCCTGGGCTTCTTGCCACTTGTTCTTGTTGCTGGGTCATGTAGGGTTGCGTTCATTGAGCGCCGCCTTTCCTTGTTGATCTTGTTTATCATATATTCCTGAGAAACATCGGCGATTTGGAAATTTTTAGGGGAAACAATGACCAACTTCAAGGGAGTAATTTTATTGATAATGTAAAAACATCCAATATTCTTATTGGTATCATTGAAAAATGTATTGGCACAAATTTCACTTTCAACAAAAACTATGCAAGTATTTGCAAAAATAGGATTTTAAAGCGGCCACCGAGATTTCCTTTCCGAAATCAAGAAAATACTTATCCGTAGCACATATGTACAATCTTTAATACGGTATTTTCAGTATGAATAAAAACTTTTTGCACTTGTTCATTATCCCTAATGTACACACTCAATCAAACCGAGTCTGCAATTCGTATGTAATTTTGTAGTGATTAATGCTTCCGAGGGATCATTTTGTCTCCAGATTTTAATACTTCACAACAGCAAGTGCCGTGTGGCAGTTGTAAAAAGTTGCCCCGTACTTCACTTCAGTGTTTTTCTGGTCCTTCGGGATCATTGATGCTAGCGCTATTAAGTGTTGAGAATTGAGTACCATTCAAGCCGGTGCTAGGGGGCGTGTCACTTACATGTCACATTGAAAGTTCCATGATAATCGTCACTTGTTCATTATCCCTCATGTGCAGACTCAATCAAACCGAATCTGCAATTCTTATGTAATTTTCCGCCGCCTTTCCTTGATGATCTTGTTTATTATCAAAATTGACCAAGAAATAAAAAAAATTAAGTAGGGGGCGCCTTGTTTTTTTCTTACTGAATTTCAGAGTGTGCTTTTTTTACTTGGGGATCATATGCCGTTTTTCATGGTATGGCACTTACGTGTCACATTGAAGGTTCCATGATAATCGCCATATTAACACGTCTGCGGATGTTTCAAAATTGTACCAGTTCATGTTGAATTTTGCTTAAGCCGGTGCTAGGGGGCGTGGACGATAACTTGCTCTTTCCATTACCGTCCATGAGCAGGCTCAATCAAACCGGGCCTGCAACATTCTCAATTTTGTCGTTTTGAGCGTTCTTTGGGGATTCTTATTTTCTCTATTTTACAAAAAGTAACATGATAAACTTTTTAACGAAAGTTAATTCAGTTTGATTTAATTCATTTTTATTTTTAGGCATTATATAATTATATATCATAAATCGTATGAAGCACACTTTTATTTCAATCCAAAATTATCAAAATATATTACGAACTTAAAAAAAAGTTTGGAGGGAACGCTGTGTTTTTCTTACCAATTCGAGAGTGTTATTTTCAGAGTAAAAAAAAACTAAAAATTCCATACATCTATTTAATTCATTTTTATTTCCGAGGCACTCATAGAAAGCTTATGGAGTAATCTTTCATTTGATACCAATAATATTGGACTTTTTATAGAAATAAAAAAAAAGTTAGAATGGACGCCGTGTTTTCCTTCATTTTATTGAGAAATAGGAGTGAGGCGACGGGTATTTTACCTGTCCGTACATTTCCGTGATAGAAGATCGCAAATACTCAGAGAGAGGCGGGGCGTCATGCATGACTTAGAATCGTCTAACTTTGTGAATCTACTTTTGTCATTTTAAACATGTAACTGTGTAAACGTACTGTTGTAGTTCTACGACTGGAACACGTTTTATTAAATTATATTTTCTGCATTCGAGTTTTACATTTCATTTGTGTTTTTCAGGTACAGATATATATCTACACGTGTGTAAACATGCTTATGTATTATATGCAATGGTGACTGATGCCTCTATGAGGCCCAGCATTTTCAATAAACTGTTCAAACTGTTCAAAACTGGTAGATACGAACTTGTAAATGTGTTGTTGTTCTCCATGTTAGGTCAGTTGTTAAGATTTACATGTAAACGTGTTATTTAAAAGCGGGTGCCTTCAATTAAAAGATTGGATTAAGAGGCATATCATTTGCTGTGCACGAATGCAATAAAAAATGCTAGACATACATGTTCGCATGTTCAAAAGTAGTTTTCAAAAGGAACACATTACATGTCTGGAATTTTGGCAACGATCGCCCTCCATATCCGCCTACTTACCGTATTGTTCATAGATTCCTGACCTGACTAATTCTAATTATCAGATTAGTGGATACATAAATAAGAATTTAACCACAACATATTTGATGACAAAAGAGCACATGTCAATTAATTAATACAAAATAAATATATAATATATATTCACATCTTTATTTAATTAATATCACACATAATTGGTGTTCATCACCATTGTCTCAAAAGAAAGGTGTTGATTGGATAAAGGTAATGATATTTATTATGTTATAAATGATTTAATGTCTTAAAATGGTTGTAGGCGTGTCTGGGTTTGGGGGCTTGACCCATTTGCACACTATGACTTTTA